TACAACAGAACATTTTGCCTTTGGTTAATTAATAATTAGTTAAAGGGTATATAAATTAAAAAAAAACTTTTTTTAGGAAGATGAGGCTGTTTAGCCTTGAGAAACTAAACACTAAGAAGTACCAAAACCAGAAAAGAATTTACTAGCAGATGCTCATTTATATATATATATATATATATTTTTTTTTTTTTTTGATTTTGAGTTTTCATACATAAACATAAACAAATTCAAACAAACAAAAATACAAGACACCCCTCCCCTCTTGCTCACTAAAAAAAATAAAAATACTCTAGTAAGGCTAGTTAATTTATACCTACATGGTCCAAATAAGAAATACCAATTTTTTGCAAAAGTATTGTATGATTTCCTCAGGCTGTATGTTATTTTTTTCGAACTGCACACAACTTTTCATTTCTGGGTACCATTTGAATAAAGGCAGGGGGATTAGATTTTCAATGGCTATATGTTTTCTAGCCACTGCCAGAAATATTCTAAAAACTTAAGTTTGGTATTTGTTCAGAGGTTCTATTTCAGCAAAATTTCCAATTAAACATAGTTCAGGGTGTAAAGGTGTTGATGTCTTGGTCATGGTAGATGGATAATTACATAAATCATGCAAAAAATGTCTAATTTTCACACATGACCAAGTACAAAGTAAGAATGACCCGGCCTCCATTGCAAATCAAAAGCATACATCAGACAATTCAGGCTTAGACCAATGACTTTTCACTGAACTTCGGTACAATTGATGGAGAAAGTTATTATGGGTAAGCCTATATAAATTAATTGTAGCAGATATGGTATCTTGACATAAATCAGACCAAAGGTCTTCTTCAATTGCATTGTTTAAGTCTGATTCCTTAAGCAGCTATGCTGCTGCCATCAACACCTTTGTTTATAGATGTTGGAGATCGGCCTGTTTTTTCAGTGTAGTCCTGTTTCTCTGTGACTAACTGGATGTGCTTTCTTCATCGTCTGACATGGGAGCTGCTCAGAGCTCGTCTGCCTGGCTGTGTGTTTCCTGGATAGGGCCACCTTTTACAGCTGCTTTTTGTGTCTCTGTTTCTGTCTCCTTGAACCCCAGTCGGCCTCGGCAGATGCCCGCTCACACTTAGCCTGGTTCTGCTGGAGGTTTCTTCCTGTGAAAAGGCAGTCTTTCCTCTCCACTGTCGCTAAAAGCATGCTTAGTGTGAGGGATTGCATTCGAGTCAATGAGTCGATGCAACCAACTGGTTTTCCTTAGATAGAAAACTTTGAATCAGTTTAACTGGATGATCTGGTGAACTGTAAAGTGCCTTGAGATGACATGTGTTTTGAATTGGCACAATACAAATAAACTGAACTGAATTAAATCGAATTCCCACCTTTCCTTAGAACTTTACAGAGCTGGTTTAGGACATTCTTTTATCAACACAGAAGTAGTGTTGCACTGATACCGATACCAGTATCGGACAGGGCCGCGTTCCAGCACTAAAATAGTGGTATCTGTATCAGTGAGTACCAACAAATAGGCCACCGATACCATTTTGAGAGCCAAAAGTTTATTCAACTATTGTCACTCATTCCAGGTAGGCAATAAAAAGTTCTACTGGATTCACTTTGTATTAGTCTTTTTCCTGCTTCACAAAGGAAGGCAGCAGCTTGACAAAGCCATGATGGCAATTATTTTACATCCAAGTAGTATGCAGTTCTTCAGGTATTCACACACACATCAATTTCAAACAGATGGTATCGGTATGCTATCGGTATCGGCCAATATTTCACAGCCAGGTATAGGAACCAAAAAATGGCATTGACGCAACACTACACATAATACACTTTAGAAAAACGTTGCCTCTTAACACTGAGGGAGGAAATGACAGCTGCAACAAGAATGTGTTACTCCTGCTCACATGTGAGCTAAGATTAGCACTGTAGCACAGCTAGCTACTGCAGGGAGGGACAAATATTGTGGTCTATGGATTCCCATTGGAACAACTTCTTTATGGTCATTGTATCGTCAGGTTCTGTACTTAAAGTACTTTTTGCAAATAGAACCTGCAGAATATCCCCTCTAGTGTGTATGACCCATTTCCTGCTCAGATGTGTGAATTTTTTACTTTTTCTCAAATGTTCCGATCAACAACAGTGTAAAGAGATTTTTAGTTTTAGAGACTGTTGCAAGTCTACCTGAGGAATCCACTGTTCTTTTTTCTTTCTTTTTTTTTGTAATGTGGCACACAATTCTAGACGCTACCAGAAAACCTGTCATCATTAGTCTACGTTCAGCTTTTGGATTTCCATCTGGTATCAATGATTTATCAGAATTGTGCAGACTCTGGTAAAGGATGACTAAGTCAGTCCTCAAAACTGCCTTCCAAAAGGGCATTATCAAAGGGCAATCCCATAGTGCATGGAGAAATGCAGCCACCTATTTACTACACTTCTAACATTTTTTATCTTTTATTAGATCCTTTTAGCATAGATTACTTGGTGTAAAATTATAACTATGTACAATTTTGAACTGAATAATTTTTCTTCTTGCATCCCTTGTAGCCCCTCCCACATTTGAAATAATATTTTCCCCCCACAGCCTCGTCAATGTCCGTATCAAGATCTTTCTGCCAGATAATTCTTACCTTTTCACACATTTTTTTCTGGATTCTAGACATTTTGTTATAGAAGAAAGAGGCAGAGTGTAGGTGTGTAATGGAGCATTAAAAAAACTGCATCACATTATCTTCTTCATTCTCTCTTCTCAAACCAAAAACAGATCCTATTGAACATCTTACTGTAGATACCTCCAAAAAAATCCCCTTTGTCAGTTAAGTTAAATTGTTGTTTACCACATTAAAGCCTGGACCATGAAACAACTCACAGAAAAATCTGTGACATAAATAATAAATTTTTGTATATGTTAAATAAGATAATTTATTTGCATCAATTTTGATGCAATAGGAATTTCTGTATAATCTTTTATAAGTTTTCATCATACATGCAAAACAACCTGAAAAATGAATATGCCCTCCAGCAAAGAGCCCCTAACCTAATCAATTAGGACCGGGCAGTTTTTGGAATTTAAAAAATATCAATACTTTTTTCAAAAGAAATATTAAATGAGACTGTATTAGTTATATTTAGATTATTGCATTATTACAGTGCTTTTATAAATGCTATATTGCATAGGTTTTTGTTAAAAAATGGACCCTTTAGGACAAACTGGTTGCCTATTAATATATATTTATAAAACACTAAGAATATCAAGATAAATATTGTACATCACCCTTAGCTTATTATTATTCTGATATTATGTAAGGTCCATATTGGCTTTTGGTTAAATAACATGCTGCTGTCATTTTGTACATCTCTGATGTTGCTGCTATTTTCAAACATCCATTACTGTAAAAATGTCCATAGCTGGATATTAGCTATTTATTCTGCAGGTGGACAGTTTTATGTTGTTAAAACACTTAACAGTACAATATTTTGTCTTTATTTTAACTCTTCACTATTATGTTATTCTTATACATTTTTCTAAGGTCCACATTTGTGTGACCTTTTTTTTCTATAATCTTTTTGCTGCTGTAAACACCAGAATTCCCCCATTGTGGGACAATAAAAGGATTTTCCATTCTATTCTATTCTGCTCTATTCTATAGTTACTTTCTTTAATCAAAAGTTATCCTTTTAATATTTTGTGTTAAAATATTTCTACACTAAAACTAAATCAATTCTTGATTTTTTTAGACTTAGATTTATTTTGTCATTTTGTATACAGAAGTGTAAACAAAAAGAAATTTGGTTTAGAACAGCTCTCTGGACAATTTCATTTTTTAAAGTGCAGCCTTGATAAGGTAAGCAGCAGTTGTTGAGCTGCTACTATTATTTTTACTACTTATTTTTATTTTATTATCACTATTATTACTATTTATTTATTATTTTATTATTACTTATTTTATTTAAATTTACTACTTAGTTTAATATTTTTCTACAACAATTTTTAAATAAACTTTAGGATTGAAACCTTTATTTTTAGTTTGAAATCATATTTATTTAATTTATTTTACCTATCCCCAGTTTAACTCCAGAGCGCAGCCTTGTTCCACAGCAGAGTGCTGTAAAGCTCGGTTACAAACAAGTTTGTTGATTTCACAACACAATCTGTTTGATAAAAAAAATGCAATAATAAATTCATTACCAGTTTTTTGAAAGCCAGAAAATTTCATGATTATGATAGATTTACTTGGAAGAGAGATATTCCTGTTAGTTCAGATACAGTTTACAAGGCGTTCTCAAAATGTGTTAAATGGCCCATTAAACCTAAAGACATAGAAACTTGTTTTAAAGTTATAAACAAAATTTATCCTGTGACAGAATTTTTAAGAAAAAGTTTTGGTATTGAGGTGGATCACTGTTCCTTTTGTAATAATAAAAGTGAAACCGTTGAACATATGTTTTGCCTCTGTCCTCCTACACATCGCTTCTGGAAAGAGTTGAAAGATTGGATTTCTTTAAAAATGAATGATGTCATTTTTTATATGGACCCATATATCTTTCACAGCCTGTTTCTGATACTATTAATATCTTTAAAACCTATTTTTCTTGTCTTAGAAAGATAAAAAATGACAAATATGCCAAAAAATTGAGACTTGATTTGTCCCAACATCTGCTATTCTAATTGCATCCACCTTTTTTTGTTTTTAATATTTCTATGGCTCTTTCTATGTTTGATTTAAATGTTTGCAGAGATAAATCCCCTGTTATTTGTATTACTTTTCTGTTTTTTTTTTATTTTATTGTAATTGATCTTTATCTGTTCATGTACACCTTTGCAATCCTCTCTGAGAGTATTTTTTCATGTAAATGTCTATGACTTAATAAAAAATAAATAAATAAATAAATAAAAAGTAAAGCTCTGTTACAGCAGTGTGCCGTAAAGCGTGGTTACATAACGCGCTGCGGGCTCCTCCGGGATGTCCCACAATGCACTGCGCGCGGCGCGTCATTGGAGCGAGCCGACGATGATGGCGGCGGTCGGTGCACCAGAAGTGATCACACAACTGGAGAGCGCTGCCAAAGTTTTAATGGTGAGATAGCCCGCCTTGTTTGGTTCTCTGCTTCGGGCTCGGAGCTCACTTGTCCCCCCGGTCTGTGGAGGAGTTTATCGGGTAGAAATGGTCTCCTTCTCCCCCTGCGCTGCGCACCGTCCCAGCTGCAGGTTTAGGGACGGTGTGTCTCAGCGATGCGTGGCGCAGAAGCTCGCGCGGCTCCATCCCGTTAGAAAACCGTTTGGAAACCCGGCGCCGGTTCGCTGTCCCCTCCTACACACAGTTTATTCCGTTTATTCCAGAAAACTCAGCCGCTCCTTTCGCCTTTCTGCCGCTAAATCAAGTTTTTTGGACTCTAGAAACAGATGGAGCATCCTCCTGTTATCATTATTTTCTCCACTTTTCCTCTGCCTGTACCTCTCGCTTCTCTTTACACTCCTAAAAACTCTCTTCCCAGCTAAACCTTCACTTTCTATCAGCTCAGAAGAAGCTAAACTAAAGAGCCCGGCTAGGCTAACCATGTGCATTTCACTGTGCTGGTCATCCAGCTAGCTGATGCTTCTTGTTCTCCAGTTTAATCACATCTGATTAGTATAAACAAACCAACTAGTTCAAAATAAAATGGCCAGACAACCAGTTTTAGTTAATAGAACAATAGCTGCTCTTTATCTTCATATATTTAGCTCATCTGGGAGGAGAGGCTCTCCCCATAAACACATCAGAGCTGCATTGATGGATTCCTGTCAACATCTATGAGGAACCCTGCTGGGAAAACAGCTTTTAATATTCAATTCAGTTTATTTCTATAGCGCCAATTCACAACACATGTCATCCCAAGACACTTTACAGTTCACCAGATCATCCAGTCAAATTGATTCAAAGTTTTCTATCTAAGGAAAACCAGTAGATTGCTCTGACTCATTCACTCAAATACAATCCCTCACACTAAGCATGCTTGCGACAGTGGAGAGGAAAAACTCCCTTTTAACAGGAAGAAACCTATTCAAAGTATTTAGGTTAGAGATTTAGATAAGCTTTATAAAGCATGCCTAAAATATGGATAATTAACTTCATATATATATATATATATATATATATATANTATATATATATATATATATATATATATATATATATATATATATATTATATAAAATTTCAGGTTGTAAAGTATATCAGGAAAAGGTTTTGTAGATATGTTTTTATCCAGCTTAGTAGGCGTTTTTAGATCTCAATGCTGCAATCTATAGATGCAATAACTAGAGATGATGATATGGAAGATTTCAAATAATTTTATTTTTTAAAACTCATCTCTAAAGGCCAATTTATTCTACTGACGCATAGCCTCTACAACTGTCAAATCTGTCTCTGCACGCACCTCAAAAATTCCTGATTATACATCTGACAGTCGCAAACCCGCACAGACCTCAAGGAGGAAAACCAGTTGATTGCACCAACTCATTGACTCCAAAGCAATCTCTCACACTAAGCATGCTTGTGGCGACAGTGGAGAGGAAAAACTTCCTTTTAACAGGAAGAAACCTCCAGCAGAACCAGGCTCAGAGTGAGCGGCCATCTGCCCAGGCCAACTGGGGTTTAAGGAGACAGAAGCAGACATAGAAAAAGAAGCATAGATACAAAACACAACTAGGTAGGTTTGATTGGAAATCTGCATAGATTGTAAAACTTCTACTATTTCTATACAGATAAAATCTCAGGAGTATAATGACAGGTAAATGTCTAAAAGTGTAAGATAATTTATTGCATTTACAATAAAATCACAAATTAATGGGCCAGTATTGTGTGTTTATGGCATATACTTAAACTCTATACCAGAATCAGCTAAAAGTACTGACTGTAATAAAAAAAAAGAAAAGCTCTTGGAAGCATTGTATTTTGGTTGTAAAATGTTGTTTTGACAAATTTTTTTTTTCTCGAAATGGTAACTCAGTATATGGTTGAAACTTAGTCTATGTCGTACTTAGAAAGTAGGTTTTCTGAAGAGCTGGAATGAGTGCAGAGGCTCTTAGAGGACTTTTTTTTTTGGTTGGTACAATATGTAGCTTTATGTAAAAACATTGAGAGTAAAATGTGAAGCTTACATGAATTGCACCATTTGATGATAATCTTCCTATTGGTCCAATGTAACTTCAGCTCATAAGCTGAGGATGTAATGACAGGAAAGTGGGGCACATCATGGAAAATGGTATAAAATTATAGTAAAAGGTTTGATAGCAATAAGTGCGGTAAATTAAGATTTTTTTAATGTGTTAATGCACTGAATGGAGCCAGGTTTTTAAAGTTTTGCTTTCTGCACTAACCCCAAGTGGTTAATCCCAGTTTTTCAGTTTTTGAAAGCCTGCTTGCCTAGAGTCCATCGTTGCAAGATGATTGTCATCTTTGTGTTGAAGTGCTTACTTCTACTTGCATGCATGGATCTGCATTAAGGCTGCAACTAACAATTATTTATTAAATCGATTGGTCTCTCGATTATTATTTTTTGATTAATAATTAGATAGCAAAAGGTTCCTTAATGAAGAATTTTTGCAAAATCAAACAAGGTGAAACTAGACTTTTCTGCTTGAGGAGTTCTGGACAGAGCAGATTGAAAGACGAAAAAGATTTTTATCTTGAATGCAAAATGTTAACAGTTTTTTTTTGTTTGTTTTTTTACAATTTTGGTATAATTACTGCTCTAAGTGGGCCCCTCTGTCAGCTAAAAGCATGTTTTAGATTCTCTATACTCCAGTTAATGATTAATCCATTAGTAAATTAGTTGGCAATTTTTTTTTTCTTCAATAATCCATTAATCATAAATAATCTGATTAATTGTTTCAGTCCTTTTTTTTTTGTATTAATATTTTTATTAGGAGTAAGAGAGACATTACAAACATAATTTAAACTTTAAACGACAGGGTATGGCATATCGAACATTGTTTCAGTCCTAATCTGCATGCTAGCTGCATCTCTCTGCATCTCTCTACTTTTCTGTGTGACAACTAACCCGCTTGGAGTGTTTTACCACCACTTAAAGGCCTGCAGACAAATTGTGCCTCCTGGATTTGAAGATTATAATAATAATAATAATTGAACTTTATTGATCTCACATTGGAGAAATTGACCTCTGCATATAACCCATCCCCTTGGGGAACAGTGGGCTGCCATTGTGCGGCACCCGGGGAGCAATCGGGGGTAAAGGGTCTTGCTCAGAGGCCCAGAGTGGCAGACTTTTTTTTTGCTAAACTGTGATTATTTTGCAAAGGTAATTAAGTTCCCAGCCCTCCCTGGTTTACAGTAAAAATGCAGAGTAAAAGGCTGGTTATCCCGCAGCACACACTGCGGGTTATCCTCCCGCAGCACTCATCTCAAACGCATCTCCCCCTGATTTAAATAAACGAGCGCCACTTTTTTCTCATTCTCTAAACTTGCA